GAGCTGGTTTGGGATGAACTGGACCGAAGAGTGAAAGCAAAGCAACCTAGTGCCACACATTTATGGAAACCTCTGCAACAGAGTTGGGAAGAACTTTCTGAAGAATATTTGATTTCCATTGTAGAAATAATGCCACAAGTGAGTTCAGCTGTTATATCTGCCAAAGGTGGTTTAGAATACATTGTGATTTATAAATTGATGTCTTGTTTAACTTCAATTGTTTATTCGTTCCATGCTTGCTTTCATTTCAGAGTACAATGAGACATAAATGGGGTTGTTCTAAAACTTTTGACCGATAGTATCTGTATATATTTTAAGTGTGTGTCGCGCTCTATGAAGAAAATGTATTATTCCTCACACAGCCACTTCTGTCACTTTTTGTGTGCTGTATACGATGAAAACCTTAGAGGAGAGACTTTCCCCTAAGTGTGCACCTTTCTACCCATTTGGACAATTTGTTAAATCGAGCCATAAAAAGACATGCAAGAGGCAGGGTTCTAGGAGAGAGTTCAGGGTGGCAGAGGGACGCAGCCAGGAGGAGGAGGAGGAGGAGGAGGAGGCTATAACAGGTTTTTCATCCACTCTTTGGAACAGATACAACTGTAGCCTTTAGATGTGGTCAGATGGCACATCGGACAGTCTAATTAGTTTAACATACTGAGGCCAGGTAACACCTGTGTTTACCCTACTATTTCATGTCAAAATGGCAGGCTGTGAAAAAGGTCCACTGCAGCTTTCCTCTCAGTAACATTAATCAGGCCACAGGCTAAAATACAATTAATACAAATTCCAGGACAACATGGATTATTTCCTGGATATTTTGGTCATGATAATCCATTTTCATGACTGGAAAACTAGTCTTTACATTTCCAGGTTTTCCAGGATGAATGGGAACCCTGTAAAAAGAGGAAAACAGCATGTTCTCTTGAAAATTGTGATTTAACATTTTGGACTCAAAGTAAGGGCGCTGTCATTCTGAGTTAGAGGAGGATGATGTCTCATTTCTGTAGTGAGCTGAGAGAGAAAGGCAACACCCCTGCTTGCTATCAGTGAGCATCCCTCCCTCTCAGCTGTACGCTCATAAGGGAAGCAGACATTCAGGTAGCCCACTGTTGCCACTGCATTGAAGGCGTGTTCAGACATCGGCTTGAATTATTGCTACGCATGGACAAATGGAGGATCTGTTTCCCCCGGTCAAAACACAGACACACGCCCATCAGTCCAGCATCCTGCAGCAACCCTCCGCCACTCACAGCCACTCACAGCCACACTGCCGCTGAAATAAACCACAGTAGAAATACTCACCGCCTATTGTAGGTGTTTTGGACCGTGCCTTTCTACATTCAGAACTCCCACTGCTAACATGTTATTGCGCCTCTAAACACTGTATCAGTCCGCGCGAAGCGCCGCAAGACGTTGCTGCGTTGTTCAGAACATTTATGTTTTATAGGCATGCGCGTGTTCCTTTCAGAGGACACGCGCACGGTGTCTGCAGCGTCGCTAACAGCTAGCAGCTACGTGAGCTAGCTACATTTCTGGCTTTTTGTGGCAAACAAACACAGCCTGCACAGACAGTACAGTACAGTCAGGGAACGTTTGGCCAGAAGGTGGTGCCAGAAGACAGGTGACAGTGTTCTTGGTTCATCTTCTGGGCAGTATTTGGGACAATCTAAAACTGTCATTGCCCAGAGGCTCAGGAGAGTTCGGCCATGTTTTGAGATTAGCTAATGTACAAATATAATAATAATGTTATAATGACGTTAAATTGCCCATATGAGTCAGATGGGGCGAAAAGAAACTGTTGCAAAAGGACCCTCTTTATTTCCCCCAATGGTAGGTAAAACATGCAGTGCCCCCTACACTGTAAAACCCCATGAGTTAGTTCAACTCAAATTGTTGGAAACCGATTTCCTTAACCCTTTAAAAGTATTACCTACAACAATTTAAGCATGGAAATATATTTGATTTGAGTACAAGTAACTCAAGTATTTATTGTTATGGCAACTTAGATAAATAAAGGTAATTGTACCAATTTCATTCAGTTAATTGAACTGAAACTAATAAGTATATAACACTCTAATACTTAACTTCTCCAAACTTATTTAAAATGTGCTATTTATCTGAATAAAAGACTACCTTTAATGCATCTTTTTCATACAACTGTTACCACTTAAATTGAATCTAATTAAATCTTCCACTGAAGCAAATTATTACAATACCTGACAAAACAGCTGATCTATGATACAAAACCATTTAAAATTAATCAATTATCAAGATGGTAGCCACTTTTGGGGCTTACATTTTGTAATGATATAAAGTGGAACTAAATCACCAAAACTTAAAATACTTCAACAATTCATTTTTTAATTGGGTTTAATTCATGTGAAGGAGTGACTCCAGGTTTTTTTTTGGAGGATTGATTAATGTTAACTTACGTCTTTTACTATGATGTGTTGTTAGGATGTACAGTGTAGGTTGCCCTTGCTGTGGAGAAAATCCTAACAGCAGACTAACCTGAGTAGTCTGTGTAGTTAGTCTGTTTTAAGGGCTAATAATGTGCCATTGTATAACATATAAAAAAGAACGTGTTCTAAAAGTTGCCTCTAACCAGGTGGTGAAGGGACGCGCTTATTATTGTGCCCTTTTTTTTCTTTTCCGCCCCCTTTGCCCTTCAAAAAAGTCTGTTGCCAAACGCCACGTTGGTATACCCCCAACCTCCAATATACCCCAAAAATAAAGGTTCAAAATATGGTTCCAAGATGGGAGGGAACTTAGCCCCCTAAAATGTGTCCAATATGGGGAGGGGCCTTTCCATCCCCCAATGCTTCCTC